CACAGAAATGACCCCCCCCTTGTCCAGATTTGTGGCAGCCTTTGTTAGGGCCGGAGCGGGGCCAGCGGCCGGGAGGGAGGTGGTGCCTGGAAGGCTGAGCCGGTTCACTTCTCTGATCCCGTTTCCTTACACAGAAAGGGAAGGTTAGGCTCCTTCTGTGCTTTGCATTTTTTTACGCGGCCGAAACCTTATTCAAACAAAAACTTATGCAAAAGTCCTCCCTATAGAAAGCATATGACCACAGTGAAGTGGAAACGAGGGTCCGCTCGCCTCCAGTTTCCAAAGCACCAGAACACTTCAGGGACCACACTTGGGAGTCACTCACCAGAAAGATTTCTGAGTCTCTCAAGGTCCCTCCCAGCTCCGGAAAGTTCTGTTGAAATGACAGCCCCTCCTTGCCACACCCCCTACAGAGGCCTTTTTAACACAGAATTGAATGTAGTGTCGCGTGGGATACGGGGCAGCGTATTTGGTAATCCCACCAGAGGCTATACTGATAGGCCCACGATGGCAGGGAAAGCAACTCCATATCCTGAATATAGCAAGTCCCTACTTAACGCTGAAGATAGGGTCTTGGAAACAGGGTATAATGAAACCAGTTTTACCATAGGCTAACTGATATATGCAAGAGTTAAGTTCCTATGGTATGTTTCTGGTCACAAAAACACAACTAAACTTTTAAAATAAGGACACCCTCCCCTCCCCCCCCAAAAAACACCACACTTCTAATACTAGACTTTGAAATAATGTGAGCTATATGTTCACTTAAGAAAGATTAATAAAAACAAGTAAGATCATTATTTTCCAACCTGCTTGTTCCAGTTCAGGGTGGCCAGAGCCTATCCCGGCAGCTCAGGACACAAGGCCGGAACCAGCCTTGGACAGGACACTGTTCAATTGCAGGACCACTGCTCACCCACTCGGACTGGGACAAGGTAGATAGGCCAATTCACCCCAATGTGCACATCTCTGGGGGGGGGGAACCTAGGTACCCAGGGAAAATCCACAAAGACACAGGGAGAACTGGCAAACGTCACGCAGACAGCGGCCCCTGCCAGGAATCGATTTTTCTTCTCATCAACATTCTAACAAAATGGCATTGAACAAAATGATGTTATGCAAGGACCTGCTGTAAATAAATCACTGCCTTTTCTAGGGAGGGTAAGTCGCTGCCTCCTCCCTACTGGAAGCTACCAACCATAATCCAAGTGCCAGCCGTTAGACTGGCTGGGTCCTCTCTTCTACTCCACACCAGGCAGGGTGTCACCCTAAGAACTCAGAGTGGTCCGAGTTGACAGCCCACCTGTGTCTTCCACCCTGATGTCTCTCGGAACTCCAAATTTGCATATCCAATGGCCTACTTGACCCCCGATACTTCAGGCATAAAAGGGTGCTGTGGGACAAGAATTTATGGCTCCTGAAAGTCGTTTTAGTCAGCCAGAAAGATTCTAAGACAGTGCCTTGATTCCTTCAGAGGTCTCAGCAAAGCATCTCTCAGCCCCTGATTTTTTCCCCAAAGCTCTCTCTTATATTTGATAATCTTTTATTGGCATAAAGGGACAAAGATGAGAAAGTTATTTTTTTCATTCTAGCATCTTTATATTCCCCCTAAATTCTCCTTGAAATCCAGCTAGTCTTTTTCATGAGGAAGTCAACTGATATTTTCCACATTCTGCTTAGAAATTTCTTTTTTCAAGCCGAAATGCTCATTAGGTAAACTATCTTCCAAGTTACCACAGGTACTCAGTTTCCTTGCATTTTCTCAGCTTCCTATGATTTTCTCACCATTTTTCCCATCTCCACCCACAGCCCAGTTTTAATGTCACATATATTAGTTTCTTGTTTTGGCACCAATTTCTACATGTTATCTATTGCTGTGTAATAAATCACTTCAAATCCACATGCTTTAAAATAGTATTTATTTAGCTCGTGAATCTGTAGGCTGGTGATTTACATTGGGCTTGGTTGGGCAGTTCATCTGGACTCATTCGCATGTCTAAGGCGGTCAGTCACCCTGTGGTTGATCCAGGGTGGATTTGGTCAGGCTAACTTAGGCACAAAATTTTCATGAAAAAGGCAGAGAGCAAAGTGACAGCAATCTCAATTGCAAAAGGCTTTTCAAGCCCTGTCTCACATCATGTTTGTGAAAATCCTATTGGCCAAACTTGCAGAGCTGAGCCCAGAGTCAGGGGTGGGAGGCACAACAGAATCTCATGGCAAATTACGTGGATATAGAGACAAGTGAAGAATTGGGGCATTTTGCAATCTAGTCTAGAGGTCAATGTTATATTTGCTTCATAAAAATAATCTAGAAGTGTGATTTTTTTCCAGTATTCTGGGATACATTATGCAGCATAGGGATTAACTGGTCTATGAAGGTTTCATAGAATTCCCCTGTGAAACCACCTAACCTAGTGCCTTTAAAAAAAAACAAAAAACTATTTCAGAGGGAAGGGGAGAGGGAGAGAGAAACATCGGTGTGAGAAACACTGGTTGGTTGCCTCCTGTGCTTGCCACAAGCTGGGTGTGTGCCCTGACCGGGAATCGAACCTGCGACCCTTAGGTGCATGGGACCACACTCAACCAACTGAGCATAGTTGGATACTAAACACTGAGTTCCTATTTTTTCTTCGAGTTTCTTGAACATGTTGGTTCACTGCTACTTAATTCTTGAGGAGTCTGATACCAAGCTGATCTTTCCTTGTAAAAAACTAGGTCTTCTGGCCTAGAGTC